AATTACTGATATGGAAAGAGTTTTAAATGTGTGGATTCAAGACTAAACCAGTCACAATATTTCTTTAAGGCCAAAGCCTTAAGTCAACTTATCCAGGCCAAAGCCTTAAGTCAACTTAAGGTGATGATGGCTAAAAGAGGAGAAACATCTGCAGAAGAAACATTTGTGGCTAGCAAAACCTGGTTTAATAGATTTAAGTCAAAGTCCAATTTTCAAAATATAAAAGTGCAAGCAGAAGCAGATAGTACAGATACCACAGCTGCAGAAACATATCCTGCAGAGCTTGCAAAAATTAGATTGTGGTTATACAAAGCTGCATATTTTCAGTGTAGATGAAATAAGCCTAAAAAATATTGGAAGAAAATGCCGGCTATAACTTTCTTTGGAAAGGAAGAGAAGTCTATGCCTGGATGCAAAACTTCAAAATATAGACACTATTGCTAAGGGCTTATGTAGTTGGCATTATGCTTATATACTATTCAGAGACTCTTATAGCTCTAAAAACAAACAAACCCCCCCAAAACAAAACAAAATAGCCTGCTTAAATTCTAGCCTTCCAGTTTTGCATTACATAAGTAAGGAAAAAACTTGAATGAATGTTATTTTATTTGCAACTTGGTATTCAGCTTATTTCAAGAATACAGATGAATCTTATTGCAGGGATCAGGAAATTCCCTATAAGATTATACTGCTTGTTGATAATGCTCCAGGCCACCCTGACTGATTCTTTCAGAAAAATCCAAGTTGCCTTCAATGCTTGCAAAGATGACTTCATGCAGCAGCCAATGGATCAAGATGTGATTTCAGCAGTCATATCTTATTTCCTAAGGAGGACTTTTGCAAAATCTTTAGCTACATTAGAGGATGATCTCTCTGATGGATCAAAGCAAAATAAAATAAAAGTTTTTTGGAAAGGCTTTATTATTTTGGACAGCATTACAACCATTAGAGAAGCATAGGATAAAGTTAAAGAAACAACTTTGAAAGAAGTTTGGAAGAAACTCCCCCCCCCACACACACACACACGCACTTATGGACAATTTTGAATGTGTTGAGGATCCAATGGAGAAAATCACTTCAAATGTTGTTGATATGGCAAGGTAAATAGAATTGGAAATCCAATCTGAAAATGTTGCAGAATTGCTTGAGTCACATGATGAGGTCCTAACTGATGAAGATCACCTGTTACCTGAATAAGAGAAAAGAGAATTCAGAGAATCAAAAGCCCTACCTGAGGATATGACTCAGGCTAGGGTATTGACAAATAAGGAACAGAAAGAAGGAATGATGAAAGTAGAGGAAGGGGTGGACCCAGTTTTGAAAGAAGTTCAAAAATAAATAGAGACCTATAAAACCAAATAGTCTGTTATAGAGAACTTCTCTGAGAAATTTGAAAGACATCAGTGTGGCAAACTTTATTGCTTTCATATTTCAAGATGCCACTTCCACAACCTTAGCCAGTCACCTCTAACCTTTTGTATTCATAGCCATCAACAGCAACAGCAACACATGTAACATATCCATCAAAGTCCCCTTCAAGAAGAAGAATGAGATTGAAGTTTGAAGTTTCTAGTGATGAAATTCAACTGTCTTCTTCAACTCCTTCAATATAGGCCCATTTCATATAGAGAATACTGAAAGTCTTATTCTCAGCAGCTTGTGCAATCTCATGACCTTTGTACTGTTTCATGACTTAGCTACCACCAAGGACATCACTAGGGGTGCAGACCATACACAATGACAACCTAAAGAGAGATGACACCACTGCTCCCCAAATGTCTGTCTTTGGGCAGAAAGAGTTTAATGGTGTTTGCCTGCATGCCTTTAAAATGCTGAAGAGATGCGGGGAGTGGGGAAGGTTCAGTGGCAAAAGAATGGTTAGCCCCCCCTTTTTTAAAAAAATAAAGTTTCAAATTTAAAAATTTAATTTAGTTTGTAAATAATAATAATAATTTTATTTATATCCTGTCCCTCTGCCAAGCAATTGGGGCAGAGTACAACATTGTAAAACATCAGACCAAATTAAAATCAATCCAAGTCCCATCACTTATTCCTGCACCCTCTTACCCCTTAAAAATAAATTAAACTAAACTGGTTAAAATGGCAGTAGTTAAAAATATACAATTTAAAAATACATAATTTTTCAATATCAATATACAGCAGCATTAATTCAGGCAGTGGAAGGGCAAAGGACAGATTTATCTTCTTCTTCTGGGCTGGGAAGTTATTCAGGGAAGGCCTGCCGGAAAAGATCTATCTTGACAGCTTTTTTAAAGCTGACTAGAGTAGTAGTAAGACAGATCTCATCCAGGCTGTAACAGGTTCCTCCCAGAGGACTGAAGTGCCCGGAGAGGCTCGTATGTAAGGAGGCGGTCCCAGAGATAGGTTGGACCCAAGCCATGTAGGGCTTTAAAGGTCATAACCAACACCTTGTACTGCGCCCAGAAACTAATAGGCAACCAGTTGAGAGATTTCAGCACAGGGGTAATATTTTCTCTCCTAGATATTCCTGTAACTAATCTGGCTGCCATATTTTGAACTATTTGAAGTTTCGAGTTAGGCACAAGGGTATCCCCATGTAGAGCGCATTACAGAAATCGAGACGGGAGGTTACCAGAG